CGCGATGTTTTCGTCGCGCTGTGATGACGTCACGTACGCGCTTTCGTCGAGCGCGATTTTGTCGTCCGCGGTTTTGTGGTGGAACCGTTTTTTCCTGCCTGAGCTAGAAGACCTGCCTGAGCTAGAAGGTTGGACAAGAAGACCTTCAAGACCTTCCAACTATGTTATTCTGTTACTCTGTTATCAACCTTTATGGGTTCTTTTAGTAATGCACTGAGATTAGTTGGACCTAAAGTAAAATGTCAGCTTCCAAAAATCTTCAACATGGACCAGGATAATAAAGACATGTCAAGGACCCCCCGATGATGCTGTTGGGCTGCTGTTGACTGGGGAAATCTCTTTGCCTCTCCTTCTCTTAGGCACAGGCTGCAATGCTTGCTACATGGAGGAGATGGAGAATGTGGAACTGGTCGAAGGCAATGAGGGACGAATGTGTGTGAACACCGAATGGGGGGCTTTCGGGGAGTCGGGAGAGTTGGACGAATTCCTCTTGGAGTACGATCGTGTGGTGGACGAAACCTCATTTAACCCCGGTCAGCAGCTGTAAGGAATATGTCAGATAAAGTTAACCTAATTGTTTATTCTTCTCTGATGTCCTGGGGAACAGGAACAAGGCACTGAAGCTGGCATGAAAGCTGTGGTCTCACTGTAACACCTAGGCACAAGTCATGAGTTTGGGATGGTCCACCAAGGCAATTCCTTGTGATATCATTCCCTTTCATGGTGCTAATGTTAAGGTTAATGTTTCTCAACCTTAGCAACTTTAAGATGGGTGGACTTCAAGCCCCAAAATTCTGGAAGTTGAAGTCTAAATATGGAGATTCATCTGAAAATTGCCACAATTAAGAAATGCTCAATTAGAGAGTGACTTCTGTTGTGCTTTTCCAAGCTTAAAGTAAAGGTTGGAAATCTTAATTCTTGAAAATTACTTTGTTTTAGAAGTAATCTGTTAGGATTCATGTGCAGTGTGGAGTGGGACCCTTGTTTATTTTCTTTTTTTCTTTCTTTCTCTTTCTTTCTTGTTTTTTCTTTTCTTTATGCCAGCCCTCCCTTCCTCTTCCTTTTTTTTTTAATCTGAAATCCAATTTTTCTCTCTCCCAAACAGCAGATTGCCAGGGAAGAAACAAAGAGCTCTTACCAAAATCTGGACTGATTATGTGCACATTTTAATAAGTACAAAAATCACATGACATTATTTGGGCTATATGTAGCCCATACTTTCTGTATGCTTTGCCTAATCTGGCCACCTTAAGATGTTTTGGGTTAGGATATTGGGACAATATTATGGTATGGGGGGAAATGGCCTAGAATAGAGTTTTTTTAACTTGGAATGTCCAAGCTTGTTGGTGTTATGTTGGTAGCTTCTAGTTGTGGGAACTTCGACTCCCAGAATTCTCAGTAAGGGGTATGTTGGCTGAGATTTTGAGAGTTGACATCCATCCACACATCAGGAGGATGTTCAGGTTGAGGAAATCTACTTTAGAATAGAGGTAATAGCATTCATGGTTTCCTTTCTTGGCCTCATAGTAACAAGCATGGCATGCAAAAAAAACCACCCTTCTAATACTGAAAACATCATAGACTTGAGATTTAAACTCTGGCACAAATGGCCTGTGCACACATTGGTTACTGGAAAGAAAAAAAAAGTCAAGTTAAGCAAAGAGGGAAAGTGGTTGTTTTTCCTTCGTTCAGAGAAAACAACCTCCGTTGTTAGGCAATCAATCTTCCTACATGAGTGGATTTTGTTCAAACAAACTGCAGTGATTTCATCTGACACACTAACACACTTGACCTTCCCTATTCTACATATATAAATGCCTTGTTGGTATTGATGCGCCTTCCTCCCACCCCCACCCCATCACCACCTACCTGCACGGAGCTTCTCCTGCATGTGACCAAACTGTGCCTTCCTTTCTCCAGGTTTGAGAAGATCATAGGGGGGAAGTACATCGGGGAGATTGTACGGCTGGTGCTGCTAAAACTGGTCAATGAAAACCTACTCTTCAATGGAGAAGCTTCAGAAAAGCTGAAGACCAGGGGATCGTTTGAAAGTCGTTTTATTTCACAAATTGAAAGGTAGTCAATACTGTACAAAGTTTACTTGGGGCACTTCGGCATCATCAGGGGAGGCCCAGAGGTGGGTTCCTACCAGTTCGCACCTATTCGGTAGAACCGGTTCGTCAAATCTACCGAACCGATTAGAAGAGGTTCCACCAGTGGACCCAGAAAGCAGGTCACACCCACAGAAGAGGTTCCAAAAAATTTTGAAACCCACCACTGTTCAAATCTGTTTGAAACTATACTGGGTGGAAATTTTGGGAATGCAGTCCAAATGCACCTTTTAGACATAAACATCTTTATACTAGTTACTTTGTAGATAGAAATTGGTTAGGTACTTCTTTAATTGTTTGGAAAATATTGTAAAATGTCTGTAAAAGTTTGGACAACTGAAAACTACTCTAGAAAAAGGATATTTGTGTGGTCTTCTACAATCTATTCAACATGTTTAGTTTCTACTATCAGGATACAAACAACATTTCTTTGTAAACATGCATAGAATTAAAGAAGAACCATCAGCTGTCGTCTGTCCTGTGATTGATGTAATTGACTGGAACACCTTTGAATTCTTGGGAAATGCTGGAGAGCCACAGATTGGTGGGTTTGACTGGAGACTGGTTTTCACGTGGCACGTGGTACCAGAACGGGAGCAGCAACGCCGAAGATCCAAGACTGATGTTATCAGGTTAGATTGATTTTGAGTTCCATCTGAAATTATATTTTGATAA